GGGTTGCGCGATCAGAGAGGGTCGGCACACGAGCCAAGTAAGAGGTGAGTAGAGCAGGAGTCGGGCGACCCGACGAGCTGGTGCCAAACGCGCGGAGTTGACGTGGGCCATGACGGACTGTGGGCACGGGCGAACCTGACGGGTGCGGGAGGACTAAGCGGGGTGACGGCTTCGTGGGTTGGTGCACGACGACGGACTGTCCGCATCGGAGAAGAAGAGTGAGGGAGAGAGAGTTGAGGTCGATGAACGTGGAGTTGCTGTTTCTTTCATCTTTTCTCCCCCCCCATGTCTCGTGTATATAAATTTTGATTTCGGCTCTGGGCGATCTGCCCTTTTCGCACTTCCAGGCCCACATCCTACTCCGATCAGGAAGTCGCGTCGGGCGTGAGGTTGGTATCGGAGCCCGACATGTGGCTGGGTCTTAGGATTAATAGCACGCTAATTAGGCGATCTGGCTAACCGAGGGCGGCCTCGCCCCCGGAACGCGCATAGAGGCGACCCTGTCATCACCCGAAGCAGATCGACTAATCGACGAGCAGCCAATATGGCTGCTAATGTACAAAACCCGAATCCGCAACAGAATGCTAATCAACCGAATCCTAATCAACCTGCCCCACGAGCACGGGCTCCCATGACGCCACCTGATCTTTATCTATTCGATCCAGCACATCATCTCGCAGGAGCATGGCTGGCCACGCTTAGAGCACAACAGTATGATTACAACGAAGCCCAGATAAACACTCTTGCTCGATTAGGAGGGGACGCTCATCATTGGTTTAGTACCTATGTATGGGTTGATCTTCCGACCTTCGAACAGGATTTCCTTAATCGATTTGATTATGTCCACCCAGAGCAGGCACCCTACATGATCAAAGACCGAGTACAAAAACCTCTTGAGTCTGTCGCAGAGTATCGAAACCGGTTCTACCGAATGTTTGTGAAATCTGAGCGAGGCGAACAAGTCGGGAGGGATTTGTTCATTGATGGGCTTCGCAGTCGAACGATAAGGGCTAAGTTGCGAAAGCAATTTTCCCCCATCACTCACACGCTGCAACAAATCATGGCTGCTGCGGAAGAAATGGAACGGAAGTTCGCGGCGAACTTCCTGGAAGGAGAAGATTATTCTAGAGAAGGAGATTCATCCGAACTCGCACGAGCGAGAGCCGAGCTGGTTGCGTTACAGAACAAGTTTGAAAATATGGGATTTGTGTCTGGCCCCGTCACCTATCTGGAGCAGATTGGTCCAAAACGACCAAATCCAAGTGAGATCCCGCGTATTCCTGTTTCCGTGATACCAACACCCGTAAGGGTGTTACCCCCGCCACCCGTTGGAAACCCGACAAGAACCAACGAGTCCACTGCTATCTTTGAGCTGACCAAAACGTTAATTAACCTAATTCTGGAAAGCAAAAAGGAGCAGCGAGAGCACAATGCTCGGTTGGAAGCCATGATGAGGAACATGCGGCCCATTGCGGTGCGTACCCCTCCGATTCAGCAAGGGTTAGCCCCGGCACCCGCTCTTGGAGGAGTCGCAAGCAATCTGAACGTCTGTTATGCATGTCATCAACCAGGGCATCTAGCCCGTGATTGCCCTCACAGGCCTCCGCAACAACGTGTCGGGGTCGCGCCGATGGCCGTGGCCCCCATCGCTAACAGACCAGGACGAGTCGGAGCTTTAATGGAAGAAGTAGAGGGTGGGGGAAGTGCCTCAGCCACCACGGAAGAGGCCGCTGAGATCATCCCGTTAGATCAGTACGTATCACTTGGTTATCCCGGGCTTGGAATGATCGGAACGATCAGACCAACGCCAGAACAGAAGGAAGTGGCGGAGTGGTGACCCTCTCCAGGAGAAACGGAGTCGGGAGGACCCACCTTCGTCACAGGGGAAATCGACGTGTTAAACATCATCCGAGCTTTGGACCATCGGATTCCGCTTCCTATCGGTCATCTGCTCTCGATCTCTGAGCAAGCTAATGAGCGAATGCTACAGCACTGCAAGGCGAACCGAAAACGATTCGCCCTCGCCCGAATACCGAACGTAAAGACTAAAAATCCCGCGCCCAAGGAAAACCCGGCTGGCTCTTCGGATCCGATACGAGTAGGGTTAATCCAGAAAGACGATCATTTCCTACGAATTAAACCCATCCCGTGGATATCAGCAGAATGCGACATTGAAATTTGGGGAATTTCTTATAACGCAATTATAGATTCGGGAGCTGCTGTTTTGGCTATTTCACTAAGGGTGGTTGAGAGGGTAGGTAGGAAAAATGATCTGATCATGCTTGCCGAAAAAGATCAGCTCGTCTCGGTGGACGAAGAAAAGATTAAGACCGTGGGAAGAATGACCAATGTCGCCTTCCGATTAGGAAAGGTGCACGCATTGGGGGTTGTTGTGGTATTAGACGTAAATACCTACGACGTTCCTTTCCGACTTCCCGCTCTCGTGGCATTACGAGCGAGCGTGGACTTCGAACGACGATCGATTATCCTCCGAAATACGGGAGGAAAACCTTATGCTGTACCTATGAGGTTAACCCTTCGTACTACCACTAATGCGGTCCCACGGGTCTCTCCGATGTTAGCAGGAACTCTCCGTATGATCTCCTGGGAAGAGTCCGCGGACGGCGAGTCATCAACGAATGGTGCGGACAGCAGTGATGAGGACGATCTGGAAATCTTGAAGCTAGCACGACAACGTGTTTACTACCCGCCACCCAGAACGATAGCAAGAACGATGCATCTGACCAGTCGGAACATTCAAAGGACCAAGGCGATGATCTTGGGTGAACCCCTCGTACAGATTTCGAGGATGGTCGATTCCTTGGAACCCCCTCAAACCTTGTACGAAGGAATCACCCCTCTCCTCGCCCGGTACAGTGACAAAAAGCATTACTGCGATATTACGGATCTACCGAAGTCCCTGTTAACATCCGCCAAAGAAGTACGGTTGCTACGCTTGGGGGCAGAAGCCAGTTCTCTAGAGCCCCCTGGACGTCTTGAGGCAGAATCAGACGAACTCGGAATAAAGATCACAACTAAAACCGTGCCATGGCAAGATATCTGTGACGGGATCACCCCGGAAAGGCACGCGGCCATCCGGGAGGAAGATGCCCAAATGATGGCCACGGTGTTCTCCTGGCGATCGGACCATTCGTTCATCTCTGCGCCACCACCCGACGTGGTGAAACAGGCACGCACAAAGCAAGTTGACGTACGAATCTGGGATCAGCTTTTTGAACTGCACGTTCCACAGTATGTGCCTGATGAGATTCATCGGGTGATCGTAGATATTCTGACAGAATATCAGGGAGCGATTAGCATGACAGACACTGACATTGGCTTGTCGTTAGTTATTCAACACGAAAATCAGACGGGAAATCATTCCCCAATCCACTGCAAGCCCTACCGATACTCCCTGATAGAACGCAAAAAGGCTCTCGAACGAATTCGGGAGTTCGAAGCCAGCGGGTGGATTGAACCCGCCACCGGACCATGGTCACTTCCCGTAGTGTTAGTGCCGAAGAAAAACGGATCAATTCGCATCTGCATCGATTATCGCAAGTTGAATGAAACCACGATTAAAGATGTGTATCCCCTCCCCCGAATTGATGATTTGTTGGATGCGATTGGTTGCGCCAATTATTTTAGCAAGTTCGATATTCGGCATGGCTTCCATCACATTCTGGTGAAGGAGGAAGATTGGCCAAAGACGGCCTTCGTGTTGTTTGAAGGCACGTGGCAGTGGGTTCGGTGTCCGATGGGGATTTGCAACGCGCCTGCCACGTTTCAGCGAGCGATGAACATGACATTCCAGAACTTCGTCAACAAGACGAGGCTAACACAGAGGAAGTGCGGGCAGCGTGTACAGATCTCCTTGCTCGACGAGGAGATACCGTCGTGCCGGCGCATAACACGGACTTCCCACTCCGCTCGTCTCGAAGGTCGCCAGCGATCGTGCTTCCGGAGCTTCGTCCCTTCGCGCTGCCCCAATGAGTTATCGTCGCATCTCCTATTTCGACCTCCCCTCCAGCATCCCCACCCTTTGGCAGTCTGCGCGGGCCCCTACTCTCTCGTACCGTATTAAGGAGAACAGTGCGCCGCTATTGAGCGAAGAGAAGTGGGACGCGTGGTGGGAGGACTACATCGAGCTCGCTTTCTGTCTATTGGAGATAGAGTTCCGCTGGTTAGAAGCGGCCCCGTTCGGAGAAGGACCAGAGCACCCAGAGGACAGTGTGGAGCTTCTGATCATCCAAGCCTGGAGAACGGCGGAGCAAGGCGATCTGCTGGGATTCTTATTCGGGAAGGTGGAGGAGGGCAATCTCACCCTGATCACAGACGAGTTGCTGGTGTTTCTGAGTCAGTTGGTGGATGATCTGCCCCTAGACATCTTGTCACGCAGTGACGAGCAGCCTGGCACCCACGTGCTGTCTCGAACGCTCGAGCCGCACCTTGTGTGGTCCACGTGTACGGAGATTGACGAGGACAACTGTCTCTATCCCTCCCAGGCGCTTTACTTGGAGATCGACGTTACCGATCTCACGTTTTGGGACCCGATCGCAAGGAGAAACGCGGCGCAGGACGAGGAGATAGGGGGGGCAGAGGAAGAGGAGGAAGAAGAGGAGCCATCGAGTGAAGAACGGGACGATCCAGACTACGTCCTGGAAAGAGAAACGGGGATAGCTAGCGAATCGAGCCAGCCGCATAAAAAGAACGAAGAGGAGGAAGAGCAGAGGAAGCGGAAGCGCCAGGAGACCGCGGAGGGAAAGCGACCCACGACAAACGTTTCTCCTATCGATCCATCGATCGGGGATCCGTGGCGTGATCCGGAGCCGCGAGCAGAAGAAGACGATGGAACTGCGGCAGAGGGATCGCGGAGAAGAGGAAGAAGAAGTGAATCGCCAGCTTCCTCCGACTCCCCGTCCCGGTCCTCCATTCGTCTACATCAAGATCTCAGCGTTCGGGCTTCGTCCCCGGTCGTTCTCTCGCCGACCCCGTGACTACCTCATGCTTACCCGTCCTCCCGATAGACCCCCGTTACCCGATGGTTGGTGTCCTTTCCCCCATCACCTTTTCTACCATCTCTAGGCTACCCGCCTTCTAGTCTCCGTTTATCCGCATGCCACCACCCGCTCTGTGGTTGATTCCTTTCTCCTTCATGTGCCCCTGTTTAGCGCAGATTGGCGGGAATATAACCACGTAGAAATATACTGTATTATATCTGGAACTATTCCCGCCTGCGAAAACTACGAAGATTTCCATGTCGTCCTGCGACGGACCCTTTCTACCATCTATCCCGATTACATTGCCGCTTTTCGCCATCTTCATGAGGTCCCTCGCTTCCCCCGCATCCATCGCTCCTTCCACTACACTACCCTTCCTGATTTCGCCTCTCCCGCCATCAATCGATTCATGCCTCCTCTCCCCCGAAACCATCCGCCACCTCCACCCTCGATGATTCGACTGCCATTCCCCGGGAACGTCTAGGGTCTACCCTCCTTTTTTACAAGGATGCATGGTTGGCTGCCACGTGTCAGTCTACGACGGGTGTGACCCCCCCCCCCTCCTTGGATTGTCAATAGCCCTTCCTGAGGAAATAGTAGTAGAGCTTGCATGCCACGTTGGAAGACGTCCACACTCAATTGAACGGTAAGTGGCATAGAAAGAAGAGCTCCGCGTGTCGGTCGATTAGAGAAATCGACATGTGTCAACAAGAGCTTGCTAATATTGGAACCCCCTGGGTGTCACATATGTGACGAACCACTTTCTGTAGCGAGTGACTTTCTACGGAGCTACGTTGAGGGGTCCTAAGTTGGGAAGGTTGGGCCAATTACGGGAGATAGGGATCGGTGGGAAATTGCATCAGTGTCCTTGCTTTTTCGTTTTTTTCGTCGCTTCTTTTCGAATGGCTGGGTTCGGAGTCGGGTGTGTCCTAGGACGGCCGGTTGATTGATTGGTTGACCGAATGGCTGGCGCGCCGCCGTGTGCGCGATTGATAAATGTTGACGTCGTTTCTTTTGTTTCGGTTCCAAACTTTTGGGCGCGGACATCGCGCGGGAATTTGCTTCTTTCCTTTTGGATTTTTCTTTTAAATCTTTTTCGAATTTTGTCGAGCCCCGATGGCTCTTGGAATTTCGGACTTTTCGTCTGGAATTTGTGCTTTTTGCTTCTTCGCATTAGACAGGAATTTAGGAATTTCGTAATTAGGATTTTCCTTGCCGCGCTTCTTCATGCCGCTGCAACGGAACTCTGATTAGTAGGCGCCTTTAATCGTGTGTGTAACTGTAATTTTGGGCGGGCGCCATTGTAACTGTATCTTTCTTCTTGCGC